ATTCTTATCTAAATTCACTTTTAATTTCTGTGCTTTTTAACGAGGTGCAAACTACAAGTTATAACATATATCGATATATAATATATTATCAATTGATGTTCGCTTTAAATCACGCACCCAGCTCCATATAGAGGCCTTAGGCCAACCCAAAAATCCATTTGAGGGGCTAATACAAAGGTCAATTTGTTAGTTTGCGCCAATTTAATGTTTACTTTGCACTTCGAGCCCATCAACCAATTTGGGCAAATCCAAACAGATACGCATTGAGCTATTAAAAACGTGAACCTTTGTGCGAGATGCCATTTGTATCGTATTTGTTTCGATGTGTTTTAATTCGGCCATTCAACCATCCACATCTATCTAACTATCAATTAAGCCAGCTCGCGTTTTCCCAGGCGCGTTTTAGATAAAGGGAAACGCCAGACGCACACGACATACACACACACACACACACTCTTACCACACACCCCAACAATACATAAACCCAAAATGATGACACTGCCGATTTCCACGGAAGTAAAGCCCATGGCTCACATTTGTTCTCTGGCGTTTCAAGCGGCAATTAAAAATTTCACCAAAAGTAAACGTTGCGCATGATTAACGCACGAATTCGACAAATTAAAGCAAATATTTTTTATTTTTCTATACCCTGCATAGAGTAGATGGGGTTAAAAAAGGGTATATGGTTGCAAGGTAAAAGTATGTCATAGTTTTACTAAATCATAATTATCTTTTGACACGTGATCTAATTGTAGAGTAAGATATGCGATTTCATTTCTAGCCCTTCACTGTGTTCGAAAATACAAACGATATCATTGTCTATATGATATTTTATATTAACAACCTTTAAAACCAAGCGTAGTAAATGGTCTTCTTTGATAAACATTGATTAACATTGATAAATATATTTATAATTAAGGTTTATAATTAAACGTTCCAAGACTTTTAAGAAATATAAGAAATATAATAGGGCTAACGGGACTTTGCCTACTCCAGTCTGCTTCGAGTTAACTTTTCTCTTCTTAATTCCAAACTCTACTCAAGTCTTTATGACTTTACGCAACTCTACTTTACTTTACTCTACTATACTCAATTTAACTCAATTTTTCTCTATTCTACTCTATTCTACCATTTCTAGTTAACTCTATCCTAGCAAACTATAGTCAGTGCTTTTCTACCTTACTCTCTTCTACTCTATACTTTAGTTCTACCTAGTGTTGCCTACTCCAGTAGAATAAAACTCTACTCAATCCTAGTTGGATCATTATGAACGATCTCTACTGAAGCCTCGCCCACTTTACGTACTCTACTCTAATTCAATCTACCAAACTCTGCTCCCCTCTAAATTTCTCTTGCAGAACTATATATAGGGTATTACCGCGTCAATCACTCTGCTGCTACTCTCATTCTCTCGTTTATAGCTTCGATCAGCGCCCGCATTGGTTGATCGCAGCACAGAACATTGTCAGCGGGTGGTCGACAGCGACAGCCGCTCGTCAAAGCTGAGACGCCGAGAGAGACAGAAACAGAGACTGAGACTGGGGCTGAGACTGCGACTCGGACATGGTCGTTGATAGTTTTCGTAATGGACTGTTAGAGCGGGGCGGGTGGGAGTTTGTTTTGGCAGGCTGTCGGCAAATTTGACGAACCGGCAGCTGTCAATGTGTCAATATTAATTTAATATGTCAAAAATAAAATTATACGCAATTGAAAATGGAAAATTGAGTTATAATGGGACACATGAGACGCCTTCCAATCGCGCTGAAACAGGGGTGGCAAACTGAAGTGGTTCGAGAACGGCGTGCAAAGGACGTGAATAGTCGGCACAATCTAAGGCATTTCAAGTGCCCAACAACACTCGATAGACGCTGGCCAAAAAAGGTAGGGTCAGCCCTGCTAATGAGCCCCAAAATGCATGTACTAAGCCTAAACTATAACAATTTGTTAATGAGCAAATTACATGGTATTTGCGTATAAATTCCAAGTTCATTACCTACACGAATGCATAAATTACAAAGTGAGGCACACACACAGGCACACAGATGCAGTTTGGTTACACGCCCTGAAAGTGATTCACTGCGTGGCAGAGTAACGCCCCCTCCTCTCTGCTCGCTCCCCAGCACTTCCAAAGAAATTTCAAGCGTACAAACCAAGTGATAGGCCAAACAACTATAAAAACTGTTGATGCGTAAAAGGATGCACCCTTCGCATAGGTAAGTGTTGCTGTACTTATCATTTCCTTTCTAGATATCCAACAGGGTTCTCAGACCTTTGGTATTTTGAATTGGAAATGAAGAACTATTTTTGAATATGTTTTATACAACACATATGTTTTGTTTATAAAAAATAAAAAATAAAAATATTTATATATATATATAAATATTTTTATTTTTTATTTTTTTAATTATTTGGAACTATATAATATAAAAGTTCTAACTTCTGAGACTATACTATCCATAGAACTTTTTCTCTCAACCTTTGCAGCTGCCAGCGACGCCGCTTGAACCCAGTCTAAATTTATAATTTCATGTTAATATTTTCAGTACTCATAATTGAGCATGGCAACCCAGCTCTGCACATAGCTCGACAACTCTGCTGCGACGCACGTGTGCATTTGCTAGATCTTTTCCCTGACATGCATTGGTTTATATACGTACATATATACTTATATATATTTGACTTGCACTATATGCATGTGTCTTTATCGCCGATTTGGTTTTTTGAATATTTGACGAACAGACTTTGTGCCTCTCTCTCCCTCCCGCTTTCCATCTCTCTCTATTGGTGCTTCTGCTTCTCCCTGGCGCAATTAGGAAAAGTGCAGTTTTATGTGCTTATATTTTTACATGCCACACATAATGCCGCAGGGCGCACAGCTGTGTGGCCTAACCCAGATACATGCATATTCGATATGCCTGACGTATATCTATATCTATACATATACATAAACATATACATATGTGTATGCATAGTACTCAAGTGGTTGCCGCTCTGGGTGCAGCTCGATAGTACTCCCACTCCTGTCACTGCTCCTGCTGGATCCGCTCTAAATTGTGCGTGCCTGGAAGTCGTTCGCCTTATCACACCCCGAAATATAACCTCCAAGGGTTGCTGAGATGAGCAGGCTTGGTTGGAAGGGGGGCGTGTAACCGATATCGAACACAAACAAACACACGCACACACACACACACACACATATGCAGCTGGTGGGCGTCGCATTCTACTATCTTTCTATGCTCCACTTTTTCATAGGTAAATTTTTGATTTTCCGCGTTGCCTTGTAATTTATTAATGAGCTGAGCTGTAGCGAATGCCGTTGGCCACACTGATTTATGTGGCATGTGTTGTCAGTGGCATGTTTCGCTGCTGCATGTGGCACGCTGTGGCATGAATGGTGGGTACGGCTCTGGCTGCTCGCTGGTGTCAAAGGGTTCATTAACACGCCAAAAGGATATTTCACACGATGCGCCCCTGTGACTTATGTAACTTAATAGGCTGCTAAAAAAATTTCTGGGCGATTTTTATCACTCATCAACAACCAGCAACAGCAACAACAACACACACACACACTCATTGGCTAAGGAGTTGACGACGTCGCATAGCAAACAACATGTGGCAATGGCCACAGCCACCAAATTGCATCCACATGTGTGCCTCACTCGCAGCTCGCCCCACAACACGATGATCATCAGCAACAGCAGCAGCAACTGCAACAAGCAGCGGCAGCATTGGCGACTGAGGCAAACAAATTGAAAATTTTCAAGTCCTCAGCCTCTTGGCGCTCGCAATTGCTCAATCGCGCGAGCTTATTTAGTTTTCGTTTTTTTTTTTTTTTTAACTTTTTTCGCGTGCTCGCTACCACCCAACAAAGATTGCAAAGGGAGCAGCGACAACATCTCTAGATGATCATCATGTTCCACAGCGCACAAGTACAGAGTACGTACTACAGTGAACTCGGTCGCTCATCAGCGCCAGAGATGCGCAGGCAGCTCAACATCGTTTGAAGATTCCGAAACAGTTCACAGTGTATCTATAGGAAAAGTAAATTTCATTCACTGTGAAGTGGATAAAATAAGGATAAGGACCTATACTATTATATAGTATAAATGTGTTTCAATTTTTCAGAGTATACTTAGAGCATATGGAATTGCGTTTTGTAATGATTGCAAATAACATTATTGAGACGAAATATGTATAACGATCCCACAAATGTAGAATAGAGATCAAGTAAATCAAGTAAGATAATTTGACAATTCCGATTAGAAAATAATAAATTCCAATAATAAATGATACAAATAGGGCTATACTCAAATTTCACATTAGAAATATGCATGCTATATAAATATTTACCTTTTGATTTAGCTACTATGAGATATATCAATATATTAAACAATATATTAACCTAGTATAGTTTTTCATAGACGAGATATACTAACAACTTTTCTTACGCAATGCTATTATATATCATGTATGTAATATAGATTTACTATTAATTTTGATTTATCTCACTATTATATACTACATTATATCTACTATAAACTATATTCTATATACCTTATAATGTACTGTACTATACTAATATTGAATCATTATATACTTCAATATCCTATATTATCCTTTAAAATGTCATATCAAATTATACCTTAACATCCAATACTTTACGGCATATATAACACTTATGTCTCTCTTTATGATCTGCTCAAAATAAAATACTCCTCAACACTTCAAAATAGTGCTCATCACTGTTTTCGTGTATCTAGATACAATCATGCTTATTGGACTGGTGGTCGCCTTCGCCCCGAGATCGCTGGCTCGAGGGAGCTGAGTGAACCGCGTAAAAGTGACTCGCGGGTGCGCCGTGGCCTGTCGGGGTCTTTCGGTATTCGGTCTTCGGTCGTTTGGTCTTTCGATGTTTCGGTGTTTCGGGGTCTGTCTCACTGCGCATTGCGCACTGCGTGCGGAATTTTCTTTTCGAGTTCGGCGCGGTTCGGTTTTGGGTGCCAGTCAGTCAGTTAGTCTGTGAGTAAACGTCGGGCCGTTTGGTTGTTTTGGGTTGTAGTTCGTTCGGTTGTTTGTTGTTTTCGGTTGTTCGCGCTGCGCATTGGCTTTTCATTAGCCTGAGCGGCCTTTGGCTTATCGAACGAATTCGAATTTTCGTTGCTGTTGCGGGTGGCGGCAAACGTCGCGGAAAAACTCTGCGCACACCGAATGTGAGTGTGCGCGTCTGAACGAATCTCCCTTTGGGTGTATGTGAGTGTGTGCCTGTTCAGTAAGTGGAAAAGCGCGCAGAGCCCATTCACCGCACAGTTAAAAAATTTAATTTATTTTTAAGTTATTTATTTTCCGTCTTTTGTGTTCGGTTTGGTTCGCTTCTGTCGGCGCTTTTTGTCGTTTTTATCGAGAATTCTGGATAAAAAGAAATACTGAATGGATGCGTTTGTTGTTGCATTTGAGAAAATGCAACTGAATGTGTTGAGATGTGCGCAACATGCACTCATCACACACACACATACACACACTTATACATATGAAGTTCTGAACAACCAATGCAAATTGACCGTGAATATGAATGCTCTTTGTGGTGCTAAGGGACTGTCGAGAAATATGGATACATATATAAATATATATATATTTATATATATAACAGATGTGGAATCGGAATAAAAATATTTTGTATAACGGAAATAAGCTCGTTAATAAAATGTGCTAAATTAAAAAATATTTAAATAAAAATATTTTTAAAAAAAATTTTCCAAATATAAAATACAAATATAAATTGAAAACAAAAAAATACATATTTTAAAATTTGAAATCTATTGATAACATAAAAGCTAATCAAATATAATTAATTTAAATAAAAAATTAAATATTTTACACACGTAAAATAAATATGAAAAGCACTTCCATTTTCAAACGAAAAAAAAAAAATATATATATATATATAAAAAATAAAATTGAAAAAAGAAAAGATATTTACATAAAATATTCATATAAAATACCTAAGCCATAAATATAAATCAATAATTTAAAAAATTTTTGACAAAAGTTTAAAAAGACTTTAATGTACATATTTAGACCGTCGTTATAGCTAAGCAGATGCGAATAAGGCTGAATAAATGAATTTTGGTATATATTTTCAAACACTTTACGCCCCCTCAAAAGAAAACACAGCGTAAACCTTTGCATTAGGCATTAATCTTGAATTTTCAATTATGAATCAATAGATTATGCGAATGACTAAACCCAGAGTCAACTTCATCTGCATTCAAACGCTCAGAAAAGTGTCGAAAATCGGCGTGGGAAGCCGACGCCTACACGAAAATGATCTCTCTCGGTCCAAACTAGCCGCAGCTCAGAGTATTTTGGCTTATCAAATCGATTCGGACTACTTAAAGAGCGGCATTTTGTTTGGCTGCCACTAATTTAAATTGCCATCAAATATATAGCTGGCCAAAGTAGCTAAACATGTGGCAGAACTTTCCCAAAAAAAAAAAACACACAAAAAAAATTATGCAGCTGCACATGTTGGCGTTGCATCGAAAAGATTCACTAATACAAAGATTCGGATATACTTATGAAATTTTATGTAAATGCGTTGGCAACACGCGCTCCTCATAAAACTGCAGCGACGATTGTCACTTTGGGTGCACTGCGTCGCCATCTCAAATTGTATTTTGACGGGCCATAAAACTAATGACAACCCACTCCAAATGGGGTACAGGAATAAACACATATACATATATATATATATATATGTATATGCATATGTGTGTGGAAGAAATTAACTAGCAAAATTAGCTTGAGCGAGCGCTAACAAGCCGCGGCTGCCTGCAATTGACCCCGCGAGGATGTCGAACCTGAAGTTCCTGAAGTTGTCATTTGCATTCCCTTTCATAAACATACTCCACATACTGAACATATTCATAATGCTTATGCGCCGATCTCTCTCTTCTCTCTCCTCTCCACTCACTCTCTCTCTCTCTCCCTCTCTCTCAGAGTCTCCCCAACTTTTTGACTTTCCGACTTCTTGTCTGCGTATTTTTAGCTGCCCAAGGCGTAAATAATTCATTTTCCAGTCACAGTTGTTGACGTTCGTCGCACGAATGTTGCACCAACTGACGGCAACGCGGTGTGGTGTGGTATGGCATGGCGGCAGCACCACTAACGGGAAATGCCTCCTCGACAGCTTCAGCGCGCCTGCTGCCTTCCCTACTCTAGGCTGTGGGTTCAATTTTGTTTTTGGATTTCCACCCAAGGGATTTGCGTTTACGTTTGCGTCGCTGTTGATTTGCATCTAAACTTGAAAGTGTTTATGCGCCCTATTTGGCCTTTTGATATCTCTTCGATATACTCTGTTTGTCAGAGTTTTAAGGAGTATATTGGCTTCCATATGCATAGTCACACACTCCACTCATCTTGAATGCAAGCTGTTGTCTGATAATATTCTAAAATTGCTTGCCCTGGAAATGCTTGAATAAGTCATCTAGGTGAAAATCCTAAATGTGGTAGTTAGACTGAGAATACTCTGGAATATTCAATTTAAAGTATATCACATAATGCACAACAACACATTATTTATAGGATACATCTTCTAGATGACTTCAAGCTTGGTATTGCCTATGGCTATAACATTTTGAGGGATAGATATTTATATTTTAGATTTTATGATGATGATCGTCTCTAGATCTCTAGATGGATGTTGACCTAAGGATAAAGTGCTTCAAAAGTAATACTTCGAGGCTATATTCTCTAGTCACACACACACGCTCTGGTTGTCTGATCTAAATAACTTATACAAAGTAGATAGCATCGAATTAGTCTGACTGCTTTTGATTTTTCATTTAAACAAAATCATTATTTTTAAATAGTCTGTCGAGCAACATTGCATTGAACTTTGACAGCAATTGCGCTGCCTGGCCAAATCATGAACTAGAAATTCCACTTTGGCAATTTGTTGCCATCAAATAAAAATAAAATAAGAAATTGAAGCATAAAAGCGAGAGAGAGGGAGAGGTAGAGAGAGAAAACATGATATGCCACATACAATGTTAAGCTGCGTGGCATGCCACTTAAGTTGCTTTTTATGGGCGTCTCTTACTTGGCCCAAAATACAATAAATATTACTCAGCGCCAGTTTCAAGTGAAGTGTCTTTGGGGGAGGGGGGGGAGAAGGGGCGGATGGGGCGTGGAGAGCGAACAGTGGGAAGTGCGCTGCAGCAACTCAATTAAGTGTCCATAAAATATCCAGATACGCTAATCAATGATATATATGTGGGGATTGTACAAATTGGTTTGGGATGTGCGCCATGCAACGGCGGATTATTCTTTTTAAGAATTACAAAAGATTTATTTCCAACTATTGCTGGAGCAATTGAATCAAGTAACAATAAATATGGAGCTCACTATAAAAGGATGTGGAAAATCAAAATAAATCAAAAAATCTTGTGAATGAATATGAAAAGAAATAAAAACAAAAAAATGAAATTTAAATATATAGAATTTTGTAAAATAAATATACATATTTAAATAAATAAATAAATTTAGAGAATCTAAAATCCTGTAAGAGCTTTTATACTACTTTTATTCTACTTATGAATTCAATAATAAACCAATAAAAAATAAAACTTCAATTGAGTTCAGCTTGTCAAATGTCAGCTGCTGATAAATGATTGTCTATTAAAATATTTAATTGTGCCTTTAAAATTGATCATAAAAAACTAATTTAGTGCCCCTGCCACAAACGAGAGCCACGAGTCAAATAAAAAATCCAAATAAATCAAAACAATAAAATTTAAAAATAACTGATAAATATAAAACAACAAAAGAAAAAAAAAAGAAAGCCTAAATATATTTATCTATAATATATGCATAATATTTTCAGTGCGCAGAAATTGTGTTCGAGGTGTGAGAAATGAAAATGCTTCAACAACAAATTGAAACGTAATCGAGCAAAAGAGAAACGTAGCAAAGATTGCAAAGATATTGAATAGACAGACCGAAGCGCAATTCTATATAGATAACTTCAAAGGCCTGTCTGTCTATAAGTGTGGCTGTCTGATCGTCCCTCCGGCCGTCTGTCTGTCTGTCTGTTTGCCCCCCCTTGGTGCAAACGCATGAGTTCTGTCAACGAAATGACATGCAGCATCTGTCTATGTAGCCGTAGACCAGGACGTGCTGCTGCTGCTTCTGCTGCTGCTGCTGCTGCGTCTCAGTTGTTGCTATTTTTATGAGCGCACTGGTCTCCACATAAACAGGGACAGGGACAGGGCTCGACGACGGCGACGACGACGGATGCGTGGCCCCATGAAAAATCAATTAACACGCAGAATTATTAAAAACTACGAAAAACTGAGAAAAACGAATAACGAAACCAGCTTTGGCTGTAAATTTTATAACTTCAAAGTAGCTGCAGCGCCATGTTGCGACTCTGTGGATATCGAATGGGAATGGGATTTGGATATGGATTTGGATTTGGATTGCTGCTGATCGTCCTACTGCAATTGCTGCAAACGGCAGCAGCTATGAGAGGTGAGTCGCTGCACAACAGTTAATTAAATGTTGCGCTCTTGAAATCACAGTCGGTAGCCGCGTTGCTGTCGCACAGAACTTAATACCATTCGGCCATAAACATGCGATTTATCATGGCAAATGATCAACGCACGATTTATGCTCATTACAAATATGGCCAGACACGAATTGGCCGCAAAAGCGACACTCGGCTTTGAGCAGAAGCTGCAGCAGCAAAAGCTGTGCTGCAACGTGGGCCATGTGTCCAAATTGCATTTACTTAGCTGCCAACAAATAAATAAAAGTCAAAATAAAGAGTTGCAAATGGTGCACAGTCAAGATAGTTTTTTATTTCAATTTGCATTGCATGTTCGTTAAATGGCAGGCACTGTGGGCAGCTCTGAGCCACAGAAAGTTTTCGAGAGCTTTCACACAGACACAAATCACAGATGCTAAGCAGTTAGACAGGCGCGTACTTTATGTGAGCAGGCTGAGAAAGCTCACCAATATTAATGCATACATCTGTGAGCAAAAGAGATTAGAATAACTTGAGTATAACAGTTCAGACAGCGCTTTTAGATAGAAGCAAATGAGTAGAATTTAGTTAGTTCTGGAAAGCTTAAAATAATGGGTATACACATTATTAAGAGTTAAGCAAAGTTATAACAGCTTAAATATATTAGCTAAAGAAGTCAAATATGTGGCCTTACATTGACAGCACACTAATACAATACTAATTCTAATTCTTCATTAAAAACTTTTGTATAACAGTAGCACAGTTTTCATATCTTGCCGCACATACAGCTGGAAGTATTTTGTGAGCAATCTTGAAATGCAGAAAGGAAGAAGAAGTTTGTAAAGCTATTGTATAATACTAGCACAGATCTTTTAACCATTAGCTGTACGTGTATTTTGTGAATAGTTTTTAAAGAACTTTCAATAACAAATGATAACTGGAGTATGAAAAGTGTATGTATAACAGTTTTAAGAAGCTTTCACATAGACACAACTGACATGCACGGCAATTAGAGATCTACTATGCACATTGAACTTACATATTGAAAGCTCAGCAATATCTGTGAACAGTTTCAATAGTGCATACATATCATACAATTGGAAAGCAGCGCAAAGAGTTTTCACACATTCATAACGGAAAATGTTTCCAGTAAATTGCGAACTAGTTCAACCGTTAACAACTAATAAATTAAATTAATTCTAAATGTTTTTGCGGCCCACGAGAAAACTTAAAATAGAAAAGCTAAGCAAATTAAGAGAACTGAATGAAACAGTTGCCAGGGAAATACCATTTCACTATGCATAGATATGTGCTGGCCTTGAATGGCATTAAAACTAGGCTGCTTGCGATTGATGTTTACATAAGTTAAGATCGGCCAGTTGCCAAAATCGAAAAACAAATACTTTTTGTTAGCTTTTATATAATTTGCTGGAGTTAACTGCCAACTGAAGTTGGTCTTGTGCCAGCATTTTATGGTATTTCTTTTTACAGTGCTTCCTCTTCTTTTTTTTTTTTTTTTTTTTTTTTTTGGCGCAACTTTCCCAAGTTGTTGCTGCATGGTAAACGTTTGCTCGTAAAATCCAACTACTTAAGTACAATGCGCCGTCGCCGTGCACTTAACGCATTTTTCACGCTTGACATTTGACTTGGGGCGCACTTTTGTCGTCGATGTCTGCGCAGCGTTGTGGCATGCCGCAAAATGTTGCAACGCGAGCAGCTAAAGCACCCAAAGCAGCCAGCCTGCTCTTAATTCTCATCACTAGATACATATATATATATATATATGTATATATACATATATATTTATCTATATTGTTTGTATCTCTTTATTTTGGCTGCTTCTGCTGTATTTATTTTCGTTGTATATTTTTAGTTGGCGTGTGACGTCACTTTCGCAGCGGCATGAATCATGCGGCAGAAGTCAACGCGAATTTTCCACTTATTTGTTGATGTTTTCGCTTTATTTGCGATTTTCACTGAACATTTTACTTCGGCTACATAAAATGTACATCATTTACACGCGCAGCGCATTGTGCCAATTTTAACACTCCGATACATATACATACACACACAAGATACAAATGTATCTGTGTATATCTATAGCTGACTCTGGGGCGCACCATGTGCTGCTGTTGCTGCTGTTGCTACTTCTGCTGCCTGCTGTTTCTTGATTATTCATTATTTTTATACCCTGTAGTCAATGAAAACTCATTAGCAGGTGTTTCATGGAGTTATACATGGGCGTATTTATGAGTATCTCAATATAATTATATAGAGTCATTACAATTTGAAACTCTAATCAGCTTGATTATCTGTATGAATCTACTGAAGTTCGTTTGTTGTTGTTTGACTGTAGGCATGCTGGGAAAACATAAGATAAACGTTTTTTTTTTTTTTTCAATATAATATTATCATAAGCTTTGAAAAGTATCAATTACCTTCACTAGTTTTTCAAACATATATCGAATGATATAGATATATATATTGAAAAATGAATTTATCTACTTCGTTTTACAGTAGAATCCCGATAATACATACTCTCTTATCAGTGAGCCTACCCAGGACTACTCTGCACGTTTGCTATATAAAATCTATATCTGAACATACATTGAGCTGTTTAGTTCTTTATAATGAGTATGATCAGTTATATATATCACATATATCAGGCTATTACTCATATCAACTATAAAATTGTATTTTATTGATTCTGGGTATTATACGCTAAACAATTACGAATGCTGGGTATCATCGGTAGTCTCTCCTTGACTATTTATACTTCTTCCCCATATAAATTCATACATATGTGTATATCTGTCTCCGCCTGCTAAATTCATGTGCAGATGTGCCAATGCATTTATGCTCAAGTTCTTAAGTTCTCATTCAATTTAGGATTCATATTTATTTTGGCGACACTCTCAGGCCCCATTGTCAATGGCTACCGGAACTGAGTCATGTGAAAATTTGTCTTTATGATATTTGTCGCTGGTCGTTTCTCGATTATTGCTTCTCAGTTGTTGATAGACACCAAAAACAAGAAAGAATACAAAATTAGAGAAACAAAAAAAGTAATTGAATTTTATGCGGCCCCGGGGTCTAATTAGGTTGCGCTGTTTCGAGGCTCTCCATGCACATTCCACATGTTTATCTGCTGCGGCTTGGCATGCCATAAACCGGGCAAATGGGTTCTTAAATGTGCTTTGCTATATGGTCATGGTGGTTTTATTTGATTTGAATTGATCTCTTCACTTGTAGAATGAAGCCATAAAATCTTGGGAATAAAACACACGCGGGGCCGAATGCTGTGAAAGGGTTGGACAATTGGCATCGCATAGCTTTGGCTCAGCCATAAAGCTGAAGCTGCAGCTCAGCCATGATTGAGCCCAATAATGAGCTGAGAAATGAGCTGGAATGGTTAGCATGTGTTAACTATTGCAAGTAACATGCATATGAGAGGATTTTAAAAATTCACATTCACTTCTTGATAAGTAACTTCATTTGGAATGCATTTGTATTATTTATGATTGCTTCATAGTTCATATACTGTGCTGCCTCTGCCAGGATAAATATATATATATCGAAATGGTGTTCACTTTAAATAGGAAATCTGCCTGCAAGTTCAAGTCTGGAAATAGCATCAAAAAAACTATGTCTACTCCGCTGCTTTATCAATTTGTTCAGCCTCATAAAAGCTGCAGCAACACTCCATAAATTCTGAATGCAATTCGCTGAACAACACGCAGCAAGCGCACAAATCACAGCGCCCAGACATAAACTGTGACATTATTAGTCAAAATTAAGTTACAGAAAATGCATCAAAAATTATAAATTGTCAGTGTCGGAATAGAATGTTGTAATGAATGCCAAGTCATGAAATACAAGCGAAATCTGAATACCTGTAGCCCACCTAGATCGCATTAATTAAGTCGAATGGGGTGGGATGGGGAGGGGAGGGAAGGGAATAGACAGGCAGCAGATGCCGCCATCAAAGTAGAAGCATCAAATCTATATAAACGCAGAAGCATATAAACTTGGGCAACTGGACGACCGAATGCGACATAAAACTCAAATAAAATAAACATTGGCCATAACATACATAAATACCAATTCGCTTGCTACGAACATACCTGCCACAAAGAGAGAGAGAGTGAGAGGGAGAGAGGGGGAGAGGTAGATGGAGATACACATAAATTTGACATTTGGCTGGCAGCGAGCGGGGGTGGCTCAGTCGCTGCAGTCGCCTCAGCCAGTTGCAGCGCATCTGTTGCCATAATTCGTGCAACGCGCTACTTGCAACAACTTATGGCATGTGGGCCGCATTTCGGTGTTCCGTTGCCTGCTGATGACGTCTCATTTGTTTCTGGGCGCCGACACTTGAGTTGCAGCCGCCGCCCGTGGATGCAAATTGTTGATGCCACTTCCGGATCGAAGCATTTTGTTTATGCTGAAGACAAAATTTCATACAAGACAAAACAGAATATGTAAATTACATACAAAATATGAAAAATAAAAAGAAATATATATATCTTATAAATATTCATATATATAATTGAAGTCTATGTTTTTTGTTTAGATTAAACATATTTAACACGTATGTATATCCTGCAATATGTAATCATACCAGAAAATCTTTTCAAATATTTCCTATCTCAAGAATTCCAGTAATTGCTGCCTTAGTCTCACATCCCTTCATCATACTGCAGAGCATCAGCTAGTCGTATACACCCGATTCTCCCTCGTTATAGTTTGCAGATCAGCTCTTAACGATATCTTAATGTAGGTCAATGCATTGAGTTGGGAAAGTGTTTTTTAGGTTTTCCGACACTTTCTGACGCCTGATTGCTGCTAATTGGCGTCAAAATGGCTCTGCCAACGCAAGGCGACGCCGGCGCCGACGCCGACGCTGATCACAGCAATAACAACAACAATCGAATTATTTGTATCTCATTTTGCTTTGTTTATCTTGTTGACTGTTGTCAGTTGTGCCTCCGTTCTCTCTCTGTCTCTTTCTTTCTCTGTGCGTGCAACATTTGTGTGCAACTGTTTCATGTTTACTCAAGCAGCTAACAAAACACAAACATATCCATCCAGCTGAACATCTCTATGTGGGTTAGGTCAATATGAGCATGTCCAACACATAAAGATTTCTGCTACAAATCGATGCCAAAGTTGAGCGCATTTGTATATAGTTTGTCAAACTAACAAACTAAATCCGAAATAAAGCCCTAAAATGTGACAACTAAATTCTACATATGAGACGCTGTGTAAAAAGAAACGGGTCATAAATCATCATATTGCCTTGAAACGTAGATGTTTCGAAAAAAAAAATATATATATATATACATATATATATATAAATATATCTAAAATTCAGCAATGCATGTGCACATGTCTGTGAAAAGCAGAGCATATGTAGACTGTCGTTTTTCCTAGAACCGAAGGGAGACTGTGGAACGAAAATTAGATAAAAAAAATAAATACAATAGAGTGTTTTAGGAAAAAGCAAAAATAATTAGGTATTCAAGATTATATACTATATTTGATAGAAATTTTATAAATATGCATTTAAGTTGAAAAAACTTTTTGAAAATATAATTATTTTTATCCTAAGCTCAATATTGAGAATTAAAAACAAAATATATAAAATAAAATAAAGTACATTTGTGTACCTTTTCAAGTGTTAATACATAAATTGTTTAAAAAATATACATTTAAAAAACAATTTTCTTCTTAATTATCTAAAGTTTTTATACAAATATTATAAATTCAACATAAATATTTAAGATTTATTAATTTTAATTATATTCTTATTCATTTAATTTACTGAATTTTTAAATTTTTATTTTACGTTAAATTTTTAAAATATTTGTTTGCTTGTTAAATATAAAAAGTAAAAAAAATTCTCCAAAATTAAATCAAATTTATTATTAATTAATTTTTTTTTAATTAACAAAAAATATATAGTTTATTTGTTATTTGGAGCTGTTTTACTCAGAACCAAAAATCAATTATTTAGGTTAAGGTTTAATGATGACTGCGCTATAGAGTCTAAGACAGAAAATTAAAAATAAAAAAAAAAAAATAAAAATTAATAAAAAATAAAAAAATCAACTGAAAGTTGCTATCACAAGCTAAAACATTTTTAAATGAGCTTGTTAATAATAAAGCTGCCCTTCATTTCCCTTAGTCAAACATCTCTAGGGCTAAAGACAGAACTACAGCCACCTACAAAACTAAAACTGACGAGATGAGATAACAACATTTCGGATCTTCAGATCATTTAAATGAACCCAGAACAAATAAACAAATTGCAATAACCTGACAGAGCGCAGAGCAAGGCTAGAACTAGAGAATGGGGCCACACGATATGGGCAGGGGGGTTGCCCTCTCAAGGCGTACAGCTAATTGAGCAAATCAAGTACGAGATGGAACTATAAATGGATGGATTGATATGTAGATAGATCGATTGATGGCTAGATAGATTGACAGAGTGCACAGAGAGTGAGTGACAGGCCGACAGCTGGCCAAATGACTGGACTAAGCTCGCGAAGGCGCAGCACGATCAGAACCCATCAAGTGGAACTTGTGGCACATGGGGGGGGAAGTTGGAGGAGGTGCATCCGTATCTGATGAAATGTCCATTTCAATTTGTGTTTTATTATTTGTGTTACAGTTTCGCTGTTCGGCGATGGATATGTATCGATGCCGCTGCAGGAGGCCAAAATGTCAACGAATATACGCGTCAAGTTTCGCACCAAGCAGGCGGATGCATTTCTCTTTTTGGCAGCGGGTCGCACCGACTACTGCCTGCTGCGGCTGGAGAATGGCCTCATCAGTTTTAGCTATAAAATCGAACGGGACATCGTTCAGGTATGTGTATACATATGCATCTGTATAACCTGTTGCATATTTGAGTTAACATATGTATGTATGTACATTGCCCCGCTAACCGAGAGCCTAATCCTGTTTTGCAGCTGCGTTCGCCCAAGAAGCAGCCGCTCAACGATCTGGAGTGGCACGATGTGGCCGTGCAACGATTCGAGAATAATGTCACCCTGCAGGTGGATGGTCACATCATGCGCAAGCAGCTGCCAGCCAATTCACTGGCTCTTAATGTCCACTTTGGCACCTTCCTTGGCGGCGTTGGCGATTTTACGGCCGAGTTTCTCAATGATGTCATCGGCTTTCGCGGCTGCATATCGGACGTGAGTGCCGCCCACTGTGCCAATTGGCGCTAGTCTAATCGAATTGATTTGATTACCATATTGTTCTGTTGCTTGTTTTATGTTCTTAGGTGTTCTATAATAACATCAACATCATAAAACGTGCCAAAGATCGCACGGGCCACACGACCAGCACCGGAGTCGCTTGGAATTGCAGCAATGAATTCGATGGCGGCATTCAGGATAGCATCAGTTACCTGAGCAATGATTCCTTTGCACTGATGCTCAAGGAGTCGCATAGCACAGGCGAAAGGTAAGAATAGACATGAGCGGGATAATTTATTTTCTGTATAAAGCTATTGAGTTTCGGATTGATAATGTGCAGGGATCGTTTATCAGCTAGATCTTTCGAAAGAGAATTTTTTAGCTTAATAATAAATCAATATTCAGACTGTCATTAAATACTGGACACTGTACTATCTATCCGTACTACTTGACTCCCTGTAATAGTTATATATAGTTATGTATACAATATATAGATGAATGAGTACAGCCGGCTTATAAATTTAGCTAGTATGAAATTCATGAAACCCATCTTGAAGTTCATATATTTTCTTTACTTATATTAAATCTCAGATTTTATAAACAATTTAACTATTTAAGGCTTTAAACTAATTAAAAAAAAAAAGAGTAGACATTGTAATGCCCGATTAGCTCAGCTTAAGCACTTCCATCTCCGACAAGCCGTTCACAATTCTCACTCAGCTCATTTACCATCATTATTTCAGTCTCTCGTTTCAATTTCGGACGATGACAGATTCGGGCACGGTGTTCTTCAATGGTGGCTACGATTTCTTGCTGCTGGAGATCGAGGATGAGAAGCTGAAGCTGACATTCAATAAGGCCGGCAGCCTGGTGCAGTTCGTGACTAATGAGACCATCTCCGATGGCAAATGGCATCGTGTGATGTTGAGCTATAATGCCGCCATGGCGGAGCTGCGGCTGGACGATGCGGCCGCAACTTATCGGGGCGAGCACGCTAATGACACCAAGGCGACCATAAATCTCGAGAAGAGCGTCTTCTTTGGCGGCGTGCAGGAGGAGATGCGCCGCCGGCTGATTAACAAGGGCCTGCGCATCAATGAGCTGAGCTTCAAGGGCTGCATGCGTAATCTACAGGTGAATAGCCTGGCATTGGGCTTCGCCGAGATGACCATATCGCGCCATCTGGCCCTCAACTGTGTGTGGAAGTATCCCTGCGTGGAGCACAGTCCCTGCCTAAAGAGCGGCATCTGCAGTCAGCATGGCGTGGACGAGTTCATTTGCTACTGCGATCAGTCCTACTGCATCAAGGCCGATTTCCAGGGTCCCTTCAAGGTAGGCGCTAGTCTGCTTGAATTTTCTCTATGTTTTCAATATATTCTTCTGTCCATCAGATATTCACGGAGACCAGCCCGGAGCTGGAGCTGCTGTATGTCTCGCCCATGCAGCTGCTGGAGGGCGGGACCGCCTTTCTTTCGCCACAGATCATCGACGTGCTGCTGGACACTCGCCGCTATCCCAGCCTCAATGAGCAATCGATTGCCTTCCATGTGGTGCAGCAGCCCAAGTTTGGCCAGCTGCTGCACTACTCGCCGGAGAAGGCCAGCTTTGTGCCCTGTCGCAGCTTCAATCTGGTTGACTTGGCCACAGATAAGGTCAAGTACGTGCACAATGGCCTGGAGAACTTCAACGATCATGCCACACTGGACATGCAGGTCTATGGCGATCCGCATAAGATACCCGACAATATTCTGGGCAAGCATCGCTTTCTGCTTCATGCGAACATCACGGCCGTCAATGATCCGCCCCAGCTGCAGCTGCATTCCCACAAAATACTGCGCGTCATCGAGGGCATCGAGCGTATTCTCGATGTGGATCTATTCAATATAGTCGATCCGGACAGCGAGCCTGGCGATTTGATCTATACCATAATGCCTTCATCCAATTCCCAGGAGGCCTTCGGCCGCTTCATGGTGGGCGGCGTCCACACCATGACCTTCTCCCAGGCGGACGTGAACGTGGGCAAAGTCTCCTATTTGTACAATTCGACGACAACCGAGTCCTTCAGCTATCACCTCTTGCTGCAAGTCTCCGATGGCATTGAGACCAGCGATACGGTCTACTTGCCCGTCTCGGTGCATCCGCTGGAACTGCGCGTCGTGAACAACACCGGCCTCATCATGATCCACAAGAGCTCGCTGCTGCTGACTCCTGCCAATCTCTCCATCGGCACCAATGCAGTCGACGAGCACATTGACATCCGTTACGATGTAGTGAAGCCGCCCCAGCATGGCGTTCTGCAGCGCCTGCGTCAAATCGACGGCTCCTGGGTAAATGTCGAGTGGTTCACCGATAGCCAGCTCCTGCTGGGCCACATACGCTACCTGCACAACAGCGACTTCCCCTGGCAGGACGAATTCAAGGTAAGTTAACTACTCTTAACTACTATTTAGCTATTTTATTATAAATACATAAATATAAATAAAATAATACATATCAAGAATAATTTATGAAATAACATGGTATATAACTTGAATTTCTTTGAATGAAAAAAGAGTTGAATTATTAAAATAGTATATAAATAAATAAAAAACTTAAAAAAATATATATATAAATGAAATAATACAGTAAAAAATTAAATAAATAAATAACATGGCACATAAATTAATTAAATATTTAGCTGATAAGTAAATGAACTAAATCTTTTTTCAATTGCTTTTCACACCTAATCTCCTCACCGTCAATTGATTTCCCCCAATCAGTTCATTGCCTCATTTGGCTTTGTGACGACACAAACCTTTGACTTTCGCATAACCTTCACGCGCCTGCGCATTGCCAGCAGCTCGCCGGCTGTGATTGCCATCAATGGAACGCGTGAAATGCAGCTGACCAACAATTTGCTGAGTTATGAGACAGTGCCCATTGGGAGCTTTCCGCGCAATGTCATCTACAAGATCACCAAGCCCACCAAGTACGGCGGCATCTATGTGGAGGGATCGCGTAAGGCGGCTAAGGAAATGGACTCGTTTACCCAGCTGGACATAGACAAGCGTCGCATTCGCTATAGGACGCATCACAGCTGCTACTCGAGCTTCACGGATCACCTGGAGTTTGTGGTGTCCGTGGCGGAGTGTGACGATGTTGTGGGCAAGCTGCAGATCATCTTCAATCCGCTGACTGAGCTGACGCACAAGCTGCACTACCAGAAGTTCGAGGCGGTGCAGGTGCAAGAGGGCGAACGGGCGTTGATCACGAAGAATCACTTTGAGATACGCTTCAATATCTACGAGAGTCTGCAGTTCCATGTCTCAGTGCCGCCGGCCCATGGCCTGATATGCAAGTACGATGAGCAAACGGGTCTGACCACGCCCATTGAGTTGTTTACGCTGGAGCAGCTGTTCCGCAATGACATCTACTACTGCCATGATGACACAGAGTCCACACTGGATGGCTTCGAGCTGCTCATCCTGTCCGGCGATGAGACGGATTTGCAATTCGTGGCCAACATGGAGGTGCACATCAAGCTGGTCAACGACAATGAACCGTATCGCAGTGCCGTGGAGCGAGTCTTTCACGTGGTGCGCAATGGCATACGCACTCTGAATCCCACGACGCTGCAGTACCTCGATGCGGACGTCAACACCAATCACACGGACATACACTATATACACGTGTCCAGCACCAATGGCGCCTTCTACAAATCGGGCCACTTCATCGACAGCTTCAGTCAGGACGACATTGCCAATCGCCGCATTATGTTCCAGCACAGTGGACCAGATGTCGGCACCGCCTCGTTCATAGTCACGGACCGGCAGCACGAGGTCAACGGGCAGCTGGAGATACGCGCCTCAGATCCATTTGTATCCATGCTGCCGGCCAACGCGTCCATTGTGCAGGAGGGCAAATTTGTGATTCTGAAGAACAAAGACTTTGTGCTCGAGACCAATTTGGATATGAAGCTGGACGAGATCTACTATGAGGTCATCAAGCCGCCCTCCTACGGCATCCTAATGTATCTGAGCGGGCAGCGAGGGGAGAATGGCACGACTGTGCATAAGGCCACGAATTTCACATCCCTTGGCAACTTTACGCATTTGGATATTGAGCGCGAGCGTTTGGTCTACTGGAATACGGAGATTGCATCGATGGATAAAGTGAGGTAGGTTAAGGGCAAGAATGTCGTTAATATCAAAATATATTTATGTCTCATCTCTCATCAGATATCGCGTTCACATCAAGAACATAACAGCCGAGGGAGAGGTCATCTTTCGCATCTATCCCTCGGCCTATTGGGAGCCGTTGCAGGTGAAGCAGAATCACACGCTCTACGTGGAGGAGTCAACGAGCGTGTTGATCTCACGTGATGTTCTCGAGGTAAATGACCTCTTCTACATTCCAGCCCTAATACTAATCACAGCTATTTCTTGCCAGGTCGTCCATCCAAACATTTCACCAGGCGATATTACTTTTCTGGTAACTTCGTCCCCGATGCATGGCTATTTGGAGATGCAGTCGATGTCCTTTGACGACGAGTACAACTGCAAGGTCTTTGATCAGTCGTCAGTGAACACGGAAAAGATGTTCTACATACAGGCGGGCGTTAATCAATCCTCCGATTATTTCGTCTTTGACGTGACGAATGGCATTACCTGGCTGCGTCAGCTGATGCTCAAGATAGTCATCATACCGGAGAAGCTGTACATGCACACCAACACCATATCCGTGGTGGAGGGCAAGACAGTGCAGATTAGCGCGACGGATATACAGCCCTACTCGGAGTATTATCGTGGCAAGATCTTGGAGTACATAGTGACCATAACGCCCAGTTCGGGTCATATACTGGCGGGCAGTTCAAAGGTCAAGCGCTTCACGCAAAAGCAACTGGAGCAGGGCGGCATTCAGTATGTGCACAATGGCAGCGAGAATAGCACCGATAGCCTCACCATGGTTGCCGTGGCCCGGAACAAGGAGAGCGTGCCCTTCGAGCTGGAGTTCGCTGTGGTGCCGGTCAACGATGAGGAGCCGATGATGGTCACCAACACGGGACTGCAGGTGTGGAACGGAGGACGTTATGTCATTAAGAATACAGATCTGTGTAAGTGCTTGCTGCTGCCGATACTCAGCCAGAAAATCGATATATATAATAATATTCACATTCCTTTCTATAGTGGCCCAGGACTACGATACACCGCCGGAGAATCTCACCTACATTGTGCATCACATTTACGGCGGTTACCTGGCTGAGAAGTCCTCCACACAGCACAAGATCGAACAGTTCACGCAGGCGCAGATCAATGCGGAAAAGATCTATTTCATACACGACGCCAACTCCCGCAAAAACGAGCTCTCCTTCCTGGTCACAGATGGCCTCTTTAATACCAGCACTCAACTGCTAAACATCGAGATTAAACCCATTGAGATTCTGGTCGAACGCAATGAGAATCTGCACGTTTTTCCACTCACCAAGAAGCAAATCTTGCGCGATCATCTGTACTTCAAGTGCTCGGATGAGGAGCGCGAGATACGCTATAACGTGACTGTTCCGCCCAGTCTGGGGCGGATTGTCAACGAGTATCTGGGCATTGGCTATGCAAAGGAGATAAGCGAATTCACGCAGAACGACGTGGACAATGGGCACATTTTCTACGAGCATACCGCAGTTATTATGGAGTTCCGCATCAATGATTCGTTCTACTTTGACGTGGTGGCCGAGCGCAGCGATCGCTTATTGGATCAGAAGTTTAACATAGAAATCTCCGTATCATCAGGTGGTCTGCTGCGTTTCTTGCCCGTGTCGAAGCTAACGGTGGATGAGGGTGGCTCGGTGCCCATCAAATTGGACTTCTCCAAGATCTTGGAGTACCTAAAGACCCGGGCGGGCATCAACAATCCGGAATTGTTTATAGAAGCCGCCCAGAAGCCCTCACATGGTAACATTGGACTGGGCCATGATTTCAAGTCCATGCAACGATATCATCCAAGCGATTTCTTTACCAAGAAAGTTTACTATATACACGATCACACGGACACCCTGGAGGATACCATACTAATGAGCGTGTACCTGACACAGGGGTAAGTTGATTAGATTGCACAATGAGACTGAATGAAGCTAGTTCTAAATATTATCCAATTTCCATTGCAGCAACATCTTTCTGTGCAATTTGACCATACCCGTCTCTATAAATCCGATCAACGATCAGCCCTTCCAGCTGGCCACGCACCTGCCCCAAATGGAGGTCGTTGAGGGTGAGAATCGTACGATAACACGCAATGTGCTGCTCACCGAGGACAAGGATACGCCGCCCGAGGAGATTATCTACGACGTGATGAGTGGCCCCACTTTGGGTGTGCTCAAGAAGCTGAACAACGATGGCCAGGCCGAGGAGCTGCTGGCCTTTTCCAATCAATTCACGCAGGCGGACATCAACAACGATCGCATCATCTATGTGCACTTCGGCATGCCGCAGTCCACGACCTTTTGCTTCACCGTCACCGATGGCCAGTTCAATCCGGCCTACGAGATCTTCACCATCAAGGTGGCGCCCATCAGCCTCCTGCCGGCGAGCACGCAGCTGCCGGTGAGCCTGCAGCAGGGCGCCACCAGTGCAGCGATGAAGCTGGAGCATATTGGGCTAAACACGAATGTGAAGCTGGACCGACTGGCCTACAACATAACCAATTCGCCGCTCTATGGCATCATTCTGTATAAGCATCAGCCGACGCTGAGATTCAACCAGCAGCAGCTGGAACTGTCACAGATTAGCTATATGCAAACCGATCTGAATCGCTCCAACGACACGTTCCAGGTGAGCGCCTACGTGCCCGGCACCAACTATGCCGCCCAAGTGGATGTGGTGGTCAATGTGGAGCCAGTGATCAAGATCAATGACATTGCCATGCGCGAGGCGGTGTCCAGCTCGAGTGCAGCGGGTGGAAAGATCAGGCTGACCTGCTATTTGGTCAACGACAATCCGCTCTCGCTGAAGCTCAACAAATTCAATCCCAAGTTCGTTATCACCCGCATGCCCGCAACGGGCCAGCTGAGGAAGATCATACGCAGCACCAGCCTGACGCAGGCGGGAATCAATGGCGCAGCCGATGGGCAGAATGAGCGCTCCACCAACATATTCTCGTACAAGGAGCTGCGCAGCGGCGTCGTCTACTTTGTGCCACACGCCTCGGTCGATGAGACGGAGGCGGATAGCGATAGCTTCGACTATCAACTGCTCATCAAGACGGTGCAGTCGGCTCAGGCGACGGTGTCCATTGAGTATCGTGCGCAGCTGCAAGAGACGGAGACAGTGCATCTCGGCAATGCAGATATATCCATTAACTACCTAGCTGTGGGCTGTGCCCTCTTCGTCCTTCTCATTTGTCTGCTGCTTGTGCTGCTCTTGCTGAAGATGCGGAATATGCGAAAGCGAAAGGCTGACATATCCAAGGATCCGCCACCGCCTTTGCCCTGCCCACCGGATTTGACGTCGGTCAGTCCGCAGCATCATCACCATCATCATCATCATCATTATGCCAGCTCCGAGGCCGATTCGGTGCCGGCGACGGGTAATTCAACGCCCCTGCCGGGCTTTAGTAACATACCCCACTGCAAGATAATACCAGTGGAGTCGTACAAGCACGAGTTTCCCGACTACGATCCGGACGAGGACGAAACCGACGATCAGTGCGATCCGCAGCAAATGATGTTGCCGCAACGCTACAATCCCTATCATATAGACCACGATACATGGAGTTCGTCGTGCGACATGGCCAACGACTTTGCTGGTTATGCATCCGTGCCGCAGAGCATATCGATTTCCGGCTCTGTCAGTTCGCCGCCCTCAGCGCCGCCCACAAATCCGCTGCTGCGCCGAAACCAGTATTGGGTCTAAGCAAACAAAGCAAACATGCAAGAAAAGTTTCGGCAAAGTAGTCTTAGTCTATTTATTTAGCCATATATTTACGAGTATATTTAAGTACGTTTAAGGCTGATTTATGAGATTCGCACATTTTAGTTAGTAAGCCAAGGGACTTTCTTAGTTTTAATCGAGCATTTATATCAATTTGCTAGTTACATATCGAAAAGTCAACAAAATTAAACAACAGCCCTACAAATTTTGCCATAAAATAGAAATGAATATCTATTCGTATAAGAGTTATACTCGTTAGCTATAAGAGTTTGCCAACTTTCAATATTAATATTTTAACTGCGAAATTTAAAAATAAATGACAATACTATTAAGCCAATTTTTAAATGATTGTTTTAAATGCCAACTTCAGTTAGTTCTTACATAAACATGCTTTGCAGCACTGAAGCGTAATCAACCAGCCACCACAAGTTATCGGACATTTGAAAACAGCTATAATGAAAATCGACTAGCCACCGCAATCTATCGAACTTTGAAAAATGTTAAGTGAATAATCGATTAATCAGAAATGTTTATTTAATATGATTATATGTATAATATGTATAGATGTATGTATTACTATGTATTTTCATTCAGCGCCGTTCAATATCATTAGAAAACACTTTGCTTACGATTATTCAATATAAAAATATCACTAGTTTCAATGTGATGCACACTGTTGCTCGCAATGCTAATGCTGGCGCCACTTAGAAGCCCGCCGTTGTGGACGTTGTGGCCGTTACGGCCTTCTCTGCAACAGGCGTCGTGACCATCGCCTGATTATCGTATCCTTGCCCATAGCCGATTTCGGTGACCACAGTTGTTGGTGTTGTGCTATTCTCTGCCGGGTAGCGAGTGCTCACCGGCGTTGCCATTGTCAACACAGAGCCCTCGGCAGCGCCTAGTTGTAAAAACAACAATTGTCAATCAATAAAATGGCCAAGTCAGGTAGTCAAATCTACATTTTACCTGCTACACTGTAGATTTGCGAAGGTGCCCGCTCAATGTCACGGTTGAAAGCATTCGGATTCTGTATGGTCATGCCATTGAGCTCCTTTCCATTACTCGGCTGCGTCTTCGACTGCAGCCGGGCCATGCAGCGCTGCAAGCAGCGCTTGACGCCCAGCCAGCGCAGGAACTTAACCATATAATTGATGAATACTAATAATAGGATGATGAACAAAACAATTCGAATCTGATCCAGCTTGGGCACCACCCGATTTTGTATATCGTCTAGCAGAGGATCAAAGCTTTTGTAGGCTGCAAATGAGATTGAGATTATTACATTTTTAGTCCATACTGTTATAATAATATAATTATTATTTGCAGCTGCTGAAAAACGGGGGAGAGAAGAAACAGTTATCTATAGATATCTTATCTGAAATGACAATGCAGATAGATATCCAACTTGAACAGAGCCAATCATTTATTTTCACAATTCCGCCAAAGATTTACTTATGAAAAAAAAACCTGTTAAAAAAAAATGATTAAACAAATACCTGTTAAATTGTCAATTCCATTAATACTGTTTGCGTAGACAGCCAATACAATGAGCTAATCAATTGTTCAAATGCGACGACAATTAACTGTTATGAACTCTAGACGGGAGATGTGCATTGGGAAAACCATAAACAAATGTTTGGCGTATTGCCAACTACATAATACACTGTACATAATTTATCTCTTTGTTTATCTTTCCTATGTAAGCTTTTTAATACCTGCGTTATAAGCTTAGTAGGCGTGACATAAAGGTCAAAGAATTCAATCGAATCTGCTTTCATATATAGCTAACTGGATAACCAATATGCCACCTTTACTCACAAAGAACAGTGAATACGCTCGTATATAAATATTTGCCTATCCAGCTTAGTAGACGTGTCATATAGCTGAAACAATTTAATCAAGTAGCCTTGAATGTATATACATATATTTAACTGCAATAACAAATATGCCTTTTGCTCACATAGAACAGTGTATACAAACACCTAGACTTCCCTATGCACACTTGAATTTCAGCCACAAACTTATGGCAAATCAAACTGTGTTTTATTTGCTTCTTTATGATGCAATGGAAACTTTTCCGTTTGCTAGCAACTCACCTGAACACTCCTTGGCACAGGTGTCCGCATGATAGTTATGTGAGCTGGCATCACAGATGTCGGCGCACGGCATGCAGCTCTCGGCGAACATGGAGCAGTACTCGCTCACTGCATGGCACACCTTGCCATGGCAATCCTGGCCGGAGTCTGCTGCAGGGCCATTGGCTGCGCTCACCAGCGAGAAGCTGGGCAGCAGCGAGGCGCCAATGGAGAGCGAGAGGGGACGCATTTCCCTGCCGGACATCAGATCAGGTCTGGATCTTCTTTGTCTTCAAATTTGTTGTTGTTTCACTTGTTTTTGCAGTTGTGTTGATTCAGTTTTTGTTGTGTTTTACATAACGTTTATTTGCACTGAAGAAGCTGATTTATTTTAGGCACCGCTGCAGTTGTTACCTGTTGTGCTATGATTCATAACTTTGTGGCCTGCCAGCTTCTTGGCAAAGCTTCTTTTTTTTTCTTAATTGTTGACTTCGCTTTGAAAGCGACGAGCGTTGAGTCCAGTTTCAGTTTGAGTGAAGTTTTTGTGCGTGTGTGTGAGTGTGTGTGTAAGCCGCCTTATAAACTAGTTTCACTTGAGCAGAAAAATTGCTGGCTTTATTAACAGATTCCAGACACTTATTATATGTATTAATGCACTTCAATCTCAGGTGTTCACTATTTTGTTTCTAATATATATTGAAAAAAAAAAACCATACCGTTTATTTATTTTATTTTATTTATTTCGGCCTTTTGAGTTATTTGCTTTTGTCTGCCGCAAACGTTTTGCTTTGAGCCACATTCAAGACAAAACTGGCAACAGCAACGATCGCGCTGCCGAATGTTACCAAGCAGAGCTCGAGCCTCACACACACACACATGCACGCTCACTCACACGCACACTCAGTCACAAGCAGGCAGTCAATCGCCGTAGCTAGAAATGCGCTCTCTCTCTCGCTCTCGCTCTCACGCAGACCCTCACTGCGCAAACGACTTGATTCTTGTTTACATTATGGAATGTAGTTGTAAAATGCAAGTGTGTGTGTAAGCGCCCAACTGATTTTCAACTATGCACAGGTTACATATACATAGGTGTATGCATTGGTATGTGACTTCAATTTTGCTTTGAATTTGCGTATTCTTTGAGCCGAGCTTAACTAAATAACCAGCCCTTGAGCAATTTCTAATCATAATTTGAACGTATGTTATGAAAATATGAATTAAAAAATTTTTTGTTATCTAAAGCGCAACGCATTGCAGAAACACGTTGACTCATCTGCATAACAGCGCATCATCATCTGATTTATTTATTTTTATGAATGAACTTCCAGAGGCATTTAAACACTTCTATCAAATAAACAAAATAAGCGAAGAGAAATCAAGTCGATGAGCATTAAATGACAATTATTAAGGAAGCAATGATATCTTAAAGATCTACAAAACATTGAAACTTGTAAATATGTGCAAGCACTTGACGTCATGAGTCAACAAATAACAATATAACACATCTCATTATTGTTGTTTTATTTGTTAGTCAATTGTTGTTATTGCTTTTTAGCCAAAGCAAACAAGTTTGAGTGCTGAGAGTTTTTTGTAGAGTTTTAAAATGCGGTTTGAGAACTGGCTCACGGTGTGTGACTTGGATAAGGGAACAGCTATAAGAACGCTTAAGCATATCAATATTATGTGCTTTAAGAAACGTACAAGTGAAATAAAGAAAAATATCAATACTTAACGTATGAATTACTATTTATTTGAAACCAAGGAATTATTTTTCAAATTTTATTCTCATTCGAATTTTTTCGTCTTTGCTTGGCAGCACTGTTAACTCAAACTGGCAGCTTTTACGCGCTCAGCTATATCGATAGCTTGTGGCAAGTTTAAAATGCTTTAAATAAGCAAAACTGTTTGGAAATAGTTGTTTGGCTCATTCACTAAATTTAATAGAAATCATTCAAGTAAATATTTTTGACGATGTTAATCAAACTGTAATTGCTTTTGGAGTGTTTTTCGATGTCAACGTATTTTGTATACCCAAAAGTGAGTGTAAACTATCGACCTATCGATATGTCAGGCACCAAGCCAGCCATCCCCATTGCCGCATTCGTTGAGCGGCTTTCGCTGTTGAATGAGCTGCGAACGCGTTCATATATTGCATCAGAAGTGCGACGTTGTTTGTCGAACGGGACAGAAAAATTGCAGCTGCTACGCAAAGACGCGCGCGCGCTTTGCTTGTGTTGTGTTTTCGTGAGTGGACATGAGTGTGTGTATGTTGGTGTGAAATTTATAAATAAATCGCGTGGCGTGAAAGTGAAATGCGTTGCAAGCAACATAACTAAACACAAGTGGATTCCACACAACATAAACGAGCGCAGTCAGAGCAACGCAATTAAGTGAAAAATTTCTAAAATTAAAAAAAATCAAAGTTAGGTTTGTTTTTGCTTAATTGTTTATCTATTGAAAGCGACGCGCCGCCGCCGTCGCTCAACTGGAAGGCAAGGTGCGGCAGCATCAAACCGAAACCTGAAACTGAAACTGAGCGAAAGAGAACAAAAACAACAACAACACGTCCTTGAGCTCATAATTAAAACACCTGTTCAACAGCAACAACAACAGAAACTTCAACCTCGGGAAAAGAATTTCACCAAAATCGGCAACAACAACAAAGGAAGATGAACAATTTCACAACAACAACGGCCGCAGTGCCCAAAAAGGACGCACTGCCTCGATCGGGACATGTTAATGAGGGTAAGAGCGAGACAACAACTAAAACAGCAGCAGCTCAGATTTGGCTTGTTGGGCTTCTTTGCCTGACGCAAAAGAGATAGCATATAATTTAAAATGCATTGACGGTCGGGTGTGGGGGAAGGGGAGGGAAAGAGTGTTTCGGTAGACCTGTTCTGAAACAACTATGAAACTATGTCAATTAGTTTAGGGTGAGTTTCAAATGTAGCGCTCTTTATCGTATCACAACGTTTCGCTGTAACAGGAAGTGCCTCATTGACTCGCAGTTCTAATTGCGATGTTAATAAGTTCTGTAATATGTATAATAACACGTTTTCGAATGAAAAACAAAAGAAGAGCAATAAATAGGTCTCAAAGCACTTCAACTCAACTTAACACATAAAATATGATGTGATTGATGCGAGAAATTATATTTTAGCGTTTTTTTTTATATTTGAATTTAAAAAATCTAATATATTTATGTATTTATATAAATATACATGTGTATATTCAAATAATTATTATAAATTTT